AAACACCGAATTACAAGTGGTTTAGACACACTGAACTTGAAAATGGTGTCCGTGACCCTTGTTTATGCCCTGAGGTCATCTTAGGTCACGAATGGTATCTAACAGTTTTTCGCAAATAACTTTTGATAGAGGCATGCTAGAGCGATGAAAACGCCTTAGATGTGTTCAGCTCGACGATACGGATCGACTGATATGCAACATGACCCTTTCCGGTCAGGTCATGACCTTGACCTGAGGTCAAATTTTCAAGTTGACCTTTCAAGGTCAAGTCATAGTTCATTCGATGCGTCTTGACGAGAGGAACACGATGCCGGTAAAAGTAAGCTCGTACAAGGCTTGGGTCAAAAGGTATTGCAGAAAAGCTGTTTTCGAAAAAATCGGCTATTTTTGCAGTTTTTGCCCCCTGCAGGCAAAACCGTTGACGTTAGGTCAAATCTGAGAGAATTACTCAGAAAGGGCGTTAATAGGGCTATCGAATGCGCTTTTCCGCGGCGCTGTAGCTCTATTGGTTCCCGAGTTATGCGTTGGCTTCTTGGAAATTTTCGACATTCGACCTGGAAATCGGCGAAATTTTGCCTTCAATGACCTCTGGTGACCTGACCTTTGACCTGACCAAAAAATTGACCGAAGTGATTTCGTCATTATTTTTGACGCTCTTTCGAACGCCGCCTTCCGCGTATCGCTACGTGGCCCAGGAGCCGAGTTACAAGGGGGGGGGGTGTTCAAACACCCCCCCCCCCCCCAGCAGGGCGTGGAAATCCAGGACCCCCAGCAGGGCGCGGGTTAACTCTGTCATTTCATTCATTATGAGCCATCGATCGACTGTTTGGAAACGGAATTATGTGCGGACTTGTGATACCAGGTTTAACAATGCACATAGCGCATTGCATTGTTTTGAACCATCTTATCTCTATTTCGGCATAATAATAATACGATAAGATAGCGGTGTAACAATACTCATAGAAGTTCAAATATTCCGACGCGCCCCACCTTGAATATTTTGTAAAACCTTTAAGAATACAGTTGCGTGGCACGAAAGATTTACCGATATTGTCTGGATCATTCGAAGTCTTTTGAGTCGATTTACTGGTAAATGACAATATTGGGTGGAGACTTCCACTAGCATCCAACTGGCGTCTAACTGAGCAGACGTCCAAGTTGGCGTCTAACTTGGCGTCTAACTGTTGGACGGAGACTTCCAAGCTAGACGCGTCTAAAGTTAGCCGTCGCCAGGTGGACGCAGCCGCCGTCCAGCTAGACGCGTCTAGCTAGACGTGAAATGAAGGTCTCCACCCAATGATAACTGCATCAATGAACATCTATAACGTTGTACATTTCCTAGAGTCTTCAAGATTTTGCATCGTGATGTGAATCTTTCTGTCATTGGGGATCTATCACGTGTGTTTTTGTCTTTTTCAAAATGTGAAGATAACCAATCTGAAAGTCAAATAGGACCCCAGAAAAATCGTGATGCTTCAAGCTCTGTCCTGCATAACATCACATAAAGTGCCCTTGGATTCTGATGAATAATGTTGTGCGTTTATGTAGTCGGCCGATGCATGCATTATCGAATTGATGTGCAAATCTGAGGCGTCACTCGAGCCGGCAGATGAGCAGAATTTATCCCGACCTCAGGCGGATTTCTGGACTGATATTCAACGGACACGGGTGAATATTTCACGGAGAGCTGGAAATATATGATAGGATAAGAGTAGAGGGCATACATATTTGAAAAATAGTGAAACAATCGGCATCGCAGTTATTGTCGATGATCCTTGGCAAAAACGAATTGTTCCTGAAAAGGTAAGCTAGGATTAGCTCCTCATTGCACAGGGATCATCATTACATGCTTTATTTACAAAGCAGCAAAGCAAAAGGACGTGCATTGTGCAATGTACATTACATATATTTTGCACACACTACATTTTACACTCAGAGGCTTCTGAGTGTAAAATGTACAATGTGCATGCATACGTCGCAAAACAATCAACACACTCAAAGAAACAAAGATTACCTGCACTTCACGGAATTGGAAAGTTCACTACGATTCAACACCGAACATTAACAACTTCCTTCTGGCCAAACAGTTTCATTTTCTGTCGGGCACCTCTTCCCTGGACAAACAGATTCTGTTGTTGCCGGTCCAGCGGCCGGTCCACTGGGGAAAACTTGCACAATTCCATACCTTGCCAGAAGCCGGCCTCACGTCCACTGGGGCCCATTAGTGCCTGATGTGAAACGTGCTGCTAGCAGCAAATCCAATAAACCGTTGAGCCACGTGACTGGGAATTTCAGCCCGGCACACGCTGAAGCCTCCTCAGGCTGGAGTTCTTCGCTCCAACGCACGTTTCAACTAGCAGAAGTGGACTGTTAGGTGTGCAATTTGCGCCGTTGCGAGACGGAGAGACATTTTTATTACGGTTGATCGTGAATGCAGCGGGTAAAAAGAACACCGGATTGAAGGTATCCGATCCGGTTTAGTTATTGCCGCGTGGTGATCGAAAAGAACTCGTGATTAAAGGTCAACGGGTGTAGGTATTGGTGTCAAACCGGGTATAGATCGCGCTGTAAAATCTCAGAAATATAGCCGGACACGTCATCCCATCTGTTAAACACTGTATTGGGCCTTAGCCGCTGTCAGCCTGGGGATGGGCTCTGATGAATTGGTGGATAGCCAACTGCTGACACATTGACACTGTCTGGAGATATATCGGATTGAGGTGATGTAGCGAAAAGTTCAGCGATTTTTTCCAACATGACAACTAATATGGACATTGGACAAGCTTATGATAACACACGTGTCGTATGATGGATTGAACTTCTTTGTTTATTTCTTTTCCAAAATGACTTCAAGCTGTGTTAGGCATTGCTGCTAATTTTTCTACGAACCAAGAACACCAATCAGTGGTGGGCAGGTTTTAAACATCAGACTTTCTCGGCCACTGAAGATTTGCCACTACATTCTTAGGCTCTCTGACGCCAATTTATTCGTTCGTTTCTTCTGGCTGACAAATATACTAAAAAATATGAGTTAGACCACGACGCCATAGCCACCGTCATAGTTCGTCCGTACGAAATGCTGCTATATTAAGACACCATCTCGATGCTTTCGGCTATGACTGTGCCCGGTGACGTTTTTACGGTCCGTTCCACCGACTTCACACTGCCTCAACATGTCTGCTAAGGAAACTAGTTGATGATGGGGCGACGAGGTGTCCAGCGTTCATTCATGAAGTATCGCAGTCTTGACTATTGCATAACGCATTGATATGGTGAGGACACCATTTAATTGTTATCACACTGTTCTTCTCTTGCTAAGTTCATTTGCGAACACCGGACTAAAGGAGTTCGTTACACTTTATGCGGATGAGCGAGTAACGAAAGTCATAATTTGTGCTTACCGAGAGGTATGTCTCAATATTGCCCTTGCGATTGCCTTTTTATACCATTGTGTGACTGTCTAACACCAAAATAGCTCAATTTCCCGAAAAGAAGACGCGAAAGGAATTGAAAATTCGCTCACGGGAAAACACCTATCCTGGCTTTTGTGCTCTCCGTGATATCGCGTTGGCATTCAGCTCCATTTTCTCGCTTATATCGCCGCATCGGCAGGCTATTTCGTCCCCTGGCCACCTCGCCGGACAGAATGGTAGTTGGATCGATGGTCTCCGAAGTGGAAGCGAACCGACTGAGAGAGACGGGCCACACGCTGTATTCAGCGGCGAATGCATACAGCGAGCTGAGAGGCGCCCACACGGCAAAATCACGTGGCGGAGTCTCTTTGAGAGCTCCGGGCAGCCTCTCAAATTGAGACGCGCCGAGTCGTTTTGAGATGTGTGCTCGAGATGTGTAGAGGCTCGTAGAAGCCTGTTGGGGTCTTGTTGAGTGCGGAGGATCGTTGAATGCAATGTGGGTAAATAGCCAGCCGGGCTACTTGAAGCAGAGTGCATATTGGGTTTTGGTGGGCACCGCATAAGGGTACCTATGCTGATGATGTTTTCGTATTTTTGGAGTAGCTAGTAAAAGTGGCGCGGGGTGGACACTGGACAATCGGGACGTTAGGAACGGAAAAAATTATATAGTTACGCACTGCAGCTTTGACATTTAACTACCGAGTTACCGAGTCTTTCCAGAATGGTGCACATGTCTGCGTCGTCGAGTCATAAAACTTATCAAGGCATTGCCACTATTGAAAATGTATAGTGATTTATTCAGCCATAAGAAAGTGATTGATATGTGTGCACTCTCATAAATGAGGCTCGGATATAACCAATTGTACGTAGATGCACGCTGTTTGGTTATTTCAATATGGGGTCGATCACTGTCGAAATATATTGAGCTATCTCTTTATTTGATACTCAGAATAGCAATGCTGGCAATCAACTACAAGTGCATCAAACGAGAGAAAATGCTCAGAATGTGATATTTTCAATTGGAACTGTGTCGTGAGGTACACACTTGATAAGAATTGTGGATGCTTTGCTATTTGCATACCAAAGGGAATGAAGAACCAAAGAAAATGCAGTTATTTACATTCAGGAGCGAATCAGTATTCCGTTCATCCTTCTCATTAGTAACTTCTTTTTACAACTCCTCGTCCAGCCTTAATGTATTTTCTCTAAGGTCTTCTTATCAGACTTAATGAGGATAATGCGATGCTCTAGCTGCTATTCGCAAATTGCAGCATCACATCACATTTACAAGAAGCATTGTTTGTGTTTGTGATGTTTGGCGATGATCAATGCAATGCAAAAAGCCTTGCTTTGTATAGGGCTTATAAAGCATGTCGGCTTTACTTAAGCTATATCAGACAACTTCATATTCCTAACGCAGTTTAGGCTTTCTTATATACATGCATATTATATTTAACATTCAAAATATACCACATTCTTGTCTTATCGTGGATTTTAGAAATAGCAACATACACACCAAATAGCGTATCGATCAGTGCAGTCATTTTTTATTATCCATCTATCGCCTGTTCTACCGTTTGTTTTTAGGGCGAAACGTCCACCAGCCGGGGGCACCTATCGGAGCTGCTGACAGAACTGTCCACCGGACCCGTCGGACCTCTGGTGGCGACCTCTGCCGACCTCGTCCGGGGTCACGTGACCGCCTGGCTCCACCAATCACCGAGCGAGGCGCAGATAAAACCAATCATCGTCACTGGCGCCCCGGGCTATGGTACGTCCGTGAAGCTATGTGGGATTTGAGAAGTTGGCGGAGAATCACAGGTTTTAAGAGCTTAAGTAATTTTAGCCCAGTGAGTGAGCCGTGCTTTTGGAAGTTTGTAATGAGAGACAGTGGATAATAAATTGGCTGAGCTTGGATTTTAGAAAGATTCGAGAATGTAATTGGCTGGTTTGGGATAAATCAATGCCATTAACGGGAAAGGGCCACCTTTAACATGGGGATTGAAACTGAGATAGCCATCTTGTAGCCCGTGTCCGAAAACCAGTCTGTCTACCTCCTTACGGCCGATTTCGGCCTCCATTCGTAGTTATCGGCAATTTTAAAAGAAAATACGCCAGGAATGCGTTCTTATCCGACAATACAGCCACCCGCAGCGAGGCTTTGGTTTTTTACCAATCAGCTCCAACCAGCTCAGCTTTAACCAATCAGCTTATCTGACACAATCCGACGAGTCTGTCTTCTGAACGCTGATTGGCTTGAGTGTGACGTCATCGCTATGCCATCATACAGTAGGTGCCGTAGAGAGTATCAACATAGTACCAATATGTTAAATAGTTTTAAATACTTTTTCGCGAATTGTGCACTTCTGGCACCAGTTTTAAAAAGAAAATGAAAAATAATAATGTCAAAATGAAAAACAACGACATCTTCATATTTCACGAAGGTGGCCCTTTTCCTTTAAGCATAGGTTACTATATCATGCCTACTTTCTTACCGATCGGTACGTTGTCGTACCTACGTCTGGGTTCTTTTTGACGTTTTCGATACATTGAATTTTGCGCTATTTCACCGTTTCGGTAAATCTCATTCCCAGTCATACTATCTCACTAAGATGTATTTACTCAGTCTATTTTACCACAAACGCTAGCCCACTAATCCCCGTGTGTTCCCAGGTAAGACGTGGGTTCTGGGCCGCGTGGCTCAGCAGCTCTCTCCCTCGCCGGTGGTGGTGTACCGATTCAGACCCAACGACGGCCTTCTGCAGCGACGTCAGCTAGTCCAGTCACTCGTGAAGGACGTCAAAGGCAGGCTGAGAAGCACAGCCGTCACGCACGGGGTGGCCGCTGGGACCTCTCCGAAGACGGCGGCAGCGGCTGCAGCGGCGGTGGCGGCGGCTACGGCTGCTGCAGGCGGCTGCAGTGCGGATGCGGTCCTGGAAGCTGAAGCGGGAAGGAGAGACAGCAGGCTGGTGGTGCTGCTGGACGATGTGGATGTCCTCCTGTCCCCCGGCGGTCAGGACTCGGAGATGGACATGTTTGAACTGGATGGTGGTGATCAGAAGGTGGACCTAGTGGGTGATGATTGGATGGCTGAACTGTCTCACCCAGGTGTGCTACTGATTGTGACAGCCACTGCACTCGATCACCTAACAGGCGATAGGTGGCGAGAGGAGGGAGACGCAAACGTGATCTCTCTTTCTCCTTGGTCAAAGGAGGAAGTCGAACTGGTTCTCGATTCCACCTTGAAAGCGAAAGGTCGAACTCTCACACCTCAACAGCGAGAGGCCGTTCTAGCGCGGTGTTTAGCTAACCCCACCCCTCTATTCGTGAGTCAAACAGTGAGCTCTGCTGTGCGGCTATACTCGTGGGACGCGGCAGACTCTTTGCCACAAAGCCTCGAGGAATTCTACGCGAAGGCGTTTGACTCTCTAGAGAGACGTTTTGGCACCGACGCGGTGGCTGCACTGTGTCGATACGTCAGCATTTCACAGCTCGGTCTGACGGAGACGGAGCTGTGTGACCTCTTGACGTCGTCCGATATTGCGATGCCCGGAGCGACGTCCCCGCAACTGGCTGGACACTGGCAACCCAGGGACTGGATCACGCTGAAAAACGCACTCAGTAAGTACTTCAACGAGCTTGTCCGCTATTAGTATCTGTGACCTGTTGAGTGCATGCTTAGTGGTGTTGGGACTTGGAGGTGGGTGGGTAGCTTTGCTGTTTATTGAGACCATCTTGTGGCTGGGTTATCTGTCAATAGCTTATCAAGATGCTTTTTATGTGACAGGATAATGCTGTTCCTTTTATGTTTTTAACTGACGACCGACCTTTCGCGATTCTATGTAGAGGATTTTTTATTCCATATTTACAGAGGTTCGTAGAGACTTCCGCTTATGACGCGTGCTCATTTGAAGATTTGTCGATGTGAGACTTTCAGCGATTCAAAGAAGGACTGAATTTCACAATTTTAATGATGTCATAATATGAAAGCATCGATGGACACATCCAGCGTTATGGGTATGTGTCTGACCATTGTGCTGACCATTGTGGACCATTTTTATACCGCCGTAAGAAATATCGGGGGTCATTGGTCAGGACTCAGGTACCTATTCAATTTGGCCTGACTCTTTATCATATTTGTGTCACTTTACATCCCCGCTACTGGCATAAATGATTCACGTCTCTCATCAGTTTTTTTTTTTTTGTCTGGGGTGCCCATTTTCAGCCAATCCAATTTGAATCCTCCCCCCTCAAAAAAAAACTTTCCACGAAGAACAGTGGTCTGGCGTCTAAAAGATCACAATGAAAAAGTAGCCCATCCCGTTGAAACACGAATCCCCACTACTACTCCCGTTTCAATCAGCGCTCTGTCCTCGCCAAAGTGCGGACTGTTATCGACTGGGCCCCCGAGCCGAGGTTTCCCGTGACATTTAGCACGTGACAGCGCGCCCGTCGGACGGCGACTGTTATGAATGACGGTAATTGTGGCGGCCGGGGAGTGCCGGGCCATGTGTGGGTGGGATGACATGGGAGAAATTGAAAGAATTCTCACTGGGGTAGCTGGGAATGAGTTCATTGAAATGTGTACCAGAAGGTAAACTCTAAACCGAAATGGCCGTGCTTCATTTAAAATGGCGATATCACATGTGTGGGATTAAACGACATAAGCATGAAATAAAATATCGCATTTAGAAATAGCACTACGTTCTGGTTCCAAAGGGCATCAGTTACAGCTACATATCTTGTCAACTTCTTTTTTTTTTTTGCTATACCATCACATCACTATCGCTATCACCCACCTCCACAAGCACGCACACAATGACGTACGCATCTCATACTCAAGTATATACGGGTTGACATTCTATCCGGCATTTCTGGTCGTTCTCCCAGCGTTGCATTAGTGAGCCTGTTTACACTTACATCACGCCGTGTGCCCCCAGTGATGGAGAGGCTTGCCACGACCCAATGGGTCCCGTTTACCGGTGCATTATCTTATGTACTTATGTGTTACCGTCAGGGGCGGATCCAAAGGGGGGGGTCACATGGGTCATGGCCCCCCCCCTTGAGGCCCGGGGGCCCAAAAACCTGCCAGGGGCACCACCGGCCTATCAGGGGTATCACAGTCCTGACAGGGGCACCACAGGACCGCCAGGGGCACCACAGGCCTAGCAGGGACACCACGGGCCTGGTGCCCCTGGGCCCTGACAGGACTGTAACGCCCCTGACAAGCCTGAAGTGTCCCCGGCAGGCACGTGGTGCCCCTGACAGGCCTGAGGCGCCCCTGCAAGGCCGGTGGTGCCCCTGGCAGGCCTGTGGTGTCCATGGCAGGCCTGTGGTGCCCTTGCTAGGCTTCTGGTGCCCCTGACAGGCTTGTAATGCCCCTGGAAGGACTGTGGTGCCCCTGGGCCCTGACAAGCCTGAGGTGCCCCTGACAGGCCAGTGGTGCCCTTGCTAGGCCTGTGGTGCCCCTGGCAGGCCTCTGGTGCCCCTGACAGGCTTGCGGTGCCCTTGGAAGGACTGTGGTGTCCCTGGGCCCTGACAAGCCTGAGGTGCCCCTGACAGGCCCGTGGTGCCCTTGTTAGGCCTGTGGTGCCCCTGGCAGGCCTCTGGTGCCCTTGCTAGGCCGCTGGTGCCCCTGGCAGGCCTCTGGTGCCCTTGCTAGGCCGCTGGTACCCCTGCGCCCGGAGAGGACTGGTGCCCCTGAAAAGTCTGAAGGGCCCCTCGGCAGGCCCGTGGTGCCCCTGACAGGCCCAAGGTGCCCCTGCGAGGCCGGTGGTGCCCCTGGCAGACCTCTGGTGCCCCTGGCAGGTCTGTGGTGCCCCTGGCAGGTCTGTGGCGCCCCTGGCAGACCTGTGTTGACTGGTGCCCCTGCTAGGTCGCTGGTGCCCCTCACAGACCTGTGGTGCCCCTGGGCCTTGACAAGCCTGAGATGCCTGGCTATGACAGGCTCGTGGTGCCCCTGATAGACCAGTGGTGCCCTTGCTAGGCCTGTAGTGCCCCTGGCAGGCCTCTGGTGCCCCTGCTACCCCTGCGCCCGGAGAGGACTATGGTGCCCCTGAAAAGCCTGAAGTGCCTCTCGATAGGCACGTGGTGCCCCTGGGCCCTGACAGGCCCAAGTTACCCCTGCGAGGTCGGTGGTGCTCCTGGCAGGCCTCTGGTGCCCCTGGCAGGTCTGTGGTGTCCCTGGCAGGCCTGTGTTGACTGGTGCCCCTGCTAGGCCGCTGGTGCCCCTCACAGACCTTCGGTGCCCCTGGAAGGACTGTGGTGCCCCTGCCCCTAGGGGTGCTCATGGGCCCAACAGGCCCGTTGTGCCCCTGACAGGCCTGTCGTGTATACTTGCTAGACCTGTGGTGCCCCTGCTTCCTGGCAGGCCTGTGGTGCCCCTGGCGGGCCTGTGGCGCCCCTACAAGGCCGTAGGTGCCCCTGACAGGTTTGTGGTGTCCCTGGAAGGACTTTGGTGCCCCTGACAAGCCTGAAGTGTCAAGGACAGACCCTTTAGACGCCAGGGTCAAGTTCGTCGGACTGACAACGATTTGCTTACCTGATAACGTTCCTGGTAAGTACTCACTACTCAGCGTCCACAACATACACAAAGCACCTTCATATATACTTGCTTACAATTGGTAAATGTGGTTGTGGCTAAGAGTTAAGATACTGACTAAAAATAAAAAAAAAACTGAAAATGGGGGCACCACCAAAATGAAGTGGACGAAATCCGTTGAGTTTTTAATTTTGGGTATAGGTAGGGGCACCACTTCGATTCATGACCCTCCCCTTGGAGTTTTCCTGGATCCGCCCCTGGTTACCGTTACCACGCCACGCACGAACGGTGTTTGGGTACAGGGAATGGCGGAGTTGGGATGATGGGATGCGAGGTCTCAGGACTGAAGCTCAAATGTTTTGGCTCAAGGAGTCCATGCATTCTAGTTACGGTCAAACTTGTCAATAACATATCGGGTTAAACAGATAGGCGGCGTGAATATGGCAGTCATATTCCGCTGGAGTAATCACAGTGTCGCTGTCGTAACCAGCCTGGTATTCATTGTTTCCTGTCTTTCTTATTTTTAGTGAATTAGTACAGGGTGTTCGCAAAAATATGTCATGATTTCGTTTCGCCATTATCGCCAGCTCAAATAAGCAAGGATCAAATGTCTTGCTGAAATGTGTTGCCCGGATCTTCAAGTTTTGTTATACACATGTATCAGTGCCTCATGTCAAACCGGGCGCACCCCACACGCTGTTTTCAATATGAACCCCTTTTCGGCGGATGCACGTATCACCTAGAGATTACACATAAGGGTTCATTCGCACGCACGTGTTATAAGTGAACACGGACGGCCTTTGCAATCACTATCATCAGCCGAGAAAGATTCTTGGCTGTCTTCCTGTAGTCCTTGGACTTCAGATATCCCACAGGTAACGGCCGATGGGGCCGACAGCAAGTGAATGGGTCGACCAGGGGGTAAGGGTCCTCCTGCTCAAGAAACGGGCCCTAGCATTTCGTTTAGGCACCGGAGTGCAATTTTCGAAGTGTGGACTTGAACCCATCCTACCCGTGCGCATGTCTGCAGCGTTTTGACCATTGTCTTGCCCCGAGTTGCCCCACATTTCTCGCTTAAACTTCTAGAGCACTCCCACGCAGCAGTTTTCAGCGGCAATGTTGGTGTTTCAATTTGAAGTCTTAAGAAGAAGGCCTCGCGGCACCATGAGCGTCTATCGCAAATCAAGCAATGACCTTCGGACTGTGGAGCTGGTGTTCTTACCTAGCCTTTGAGGGTGGCATATCTACCCAAACCGTTTGTTCTGGCCGTCGGCGCCTCCATGAAGGTGGATGTGTGCTTCACTGGTTGACCGGGCGTGGCCGGTGAGCGGTGCTCAGAAATGATTTGGGTTTTTATCCTCGAAGCAAAGTAAATTCTTAGCCCTTTTCTACCCTAAATAGCACCTATTGATTCCTGACCTTGTAGGGTATAATACCCATGTCATTATCAATAATATAATGAGACATGTTGGACCGCACCCCGCATCTTGCGCGAGCTCGCAGATGGTCAGGGAAGGCATCTCGTTGACCAAATGGCTGATCTCTTTGTAGTTTAAATGACTATAAATAATTCTTTTTCTCGGACTTTCAAGGGTTCATTCGATTTCTAACGATCACTTTGGTAGTAAGTTGCATGTGCAGTAAAAAAATCGCCTTACAAGGGGTGCAGCGGAGGCATCAAAGCATGCACCGAACTGTTGTAGCACGGAAACTACGGGCATCGAATCCAAGTGCTTTTTGGCGATATTTGTTTTTCGCTCTGTGCAAGGCAAGATTTTTAATATTATAAATTAAAATGCATATGAAAGAAAACTTGAAAATGTCCTCTGTCAAATGGGCATAAATACGTGCACGTGCGTTCAAGCAATTTTTCCTACAAAGCGATTAGAATCATGACATATTTTCGCGAACACCCTGTATATGACGTCTGTTTTTTGAATATTTATCACTACAGGGTGTAACGAAATTATCCGGACATCTATTTTTTCGCCATATCTGCTCGCAAAGTTTCTTTTTTAATGTTAGAAGCTGGAAAGTTGGATGAATGCATACCTCTGATAGCTGCTCTCAACTCAGCAGT